TTAGGGGGTGTGGTGATTAATTGCCCTGGGGGTGGTGGTGGGGGGTGAAGATGAAGGGGTGTAAAGATCTGCTAATGGGAAAAGTGTTCACCTCTTCGCTATGTTGCAGACACAGCTGCGAGAGGCTCATATGGGGAGATCGCACCTGCGTTGCTGAAAGTGATTAAAATTCTCCCTTGATTCCACCCAAATAACATGCTGTCAGTCAGAGAGACCCCCCTTCTCACCTCGCATGTGACAGAGAAGAGTACATGCTAATCCATCCTGATTATCAGAGATGCTTGATGGATGTAACGTAGGGCAGAAACTTTCACCTCGGGGCACCAGACGCACGCCAGCATGAGATGCCGTTTAGCCTTAGAGACGCTCTCTGTTTTTGTGAGCAGCCCTTTATGTTGTGCCTAGCCTTACAGGTTATAGGTCTGAATGCTGCAAGGTGATCCTTGAGGTATCTCCATTGTGACATTGAGGAAACAACGTAACCGCATTTTGCTCCACGGGGACTGTTAATGTAAATTATTAGTGTCATTTTTATTTATTTATGTATTTTTCCATTTTTAAAATAAAATAAAATAAAGGCTTGTCCAGATTTTTCAGAAAAAACAAACAAACAAACAAAATGATAATAATTTGATTAGTGAGGTCAAACAGTTTTGTTATTATTATTATTTTTATTATTATTATTATATTGTTCCAGTAAATTTATTTTTTATTTTTTATTAAATTTTATTTTTAGATTAAAATCATAGGAAAATAATAGAAAATAGACTGATCCAGTTAATATGCATTTAAAACAGAAAAACTAAGTGATGTTTTTTTCATATTTATGTTATATATTATATGTAATATATATTAATAAATAATATATTGTCCCTGTAAATTAATAGAGATTTTTTTTATTTTCATTCATTTTATTTTTAGATTACAATAATTCAATTAAATTCAATTAAATGGAATGAAAAATATATAAAAATTTAAAGAAAATAAATTCAGGATGGTCCAGTTAATATGCATGCATTTTATAGAAATAAACAAACAAATAAAGTCATGAACAATTTTTTCCATTTGACTAATTGATTAGTGAGATCAAAAAAATATTTTTTTTTGTTATTTATTTTATATATTCTAATAAATATTTTGATACTTTAATTGTTACATTGTGCTTTAGCTGTTAAATAGTTTGCATGGTAAAACCTTGAAAATGTTGCATCAGTAAAGCACCACTTCTACCACCATATAAACGCAGACGGACATCACTAGCCTCTGCATTGTGACTTTTGCACAACTCTCGCTGCAATACAAGAAGCAAAAGAAAATGTGTGCAGAAGACCTTGAGGACAAAGGTAACGAGACATCTGCCCTGTCAATTTCAAAACACAATTTAAGCCTGCAGACTGGAGATTTGCGAGTGAGGCTACAAGCGAAGAGTCAATGGTTTCATTATGGTTTTGTAATCTCTACTTCAGCAAAGCACAAAGAAATAGAAACCCAGTTGAATCCAATAAAACCCCATTCAGCCCTAACAAGCTATTTATAGCACCAAGCCCTAAGACATTGCCAGTTGTGGTTTCAGATGAATGGGGGTTGCACTGTATGTCCTAGCTGTCACTGTAAGTAAATCACAAATGTATCAGTCACACCCTTTAGAATCGAAGCCACACGACAAGCGTGGCAAAGGATATCCGAAAGGATCAAGCATTAGCTTATCAACGTGGGACAAATTACTTTGACACTGAGCTAGCCAGAAAACATGGCCTCCTTGCCTCAACCTACAAACCTCTGGCCACCAGAACTGAAATATAGAGCGCATTCAAAGCGCAACATCTTCCTGACATTGCCGTTGTTTGCATTATCAGATCAAACCGATGTGTATTTCCGTACTCTAGCTGTTTAGCTAGAGTACGCTGATGGTTCTACTGATAGGTACGTTAATGAAATTACCTAACTACTTATCCATGCATGCACATTTAAAGGGGTCATATTAGAAATTACATAAATAAATAAAAAAATAATAATAAATAAATAAATAAATAAATAAAATAAAATGCATGTATTTTCATTTAATATGCATGCTTTTTAGAGAAAACCATTCAGGATTTTAAAAAAAGTTACAAGAAATATGCATGCATTTTCTAGAGAAAAGAATTCCGAAAAAAGGTGATTTGCCCTAAAAGACCTGTACTCCACTCTGTACATCATCTGTAATCACATGCTTTAGAGGCATTTGATGAAATGATAGCAATTTGTCATGAAATTTCAGAGGATAAAGGAATTTTTAGGGCTCAAAACAAGTTAAGCTCTACCTTAAAAGCACACATTAACTCTGAAAAAAAAAATACTTTCAATGATTTAGAAATTACATAAATAAATAAATAAATAAAACATTAAAATAAAATAAAATAATATAAAATGCCATTAAATACCTGCAACTCCAGTATGTACTCTGTACATCATCTGTAATCACATGCTTTGGAGGCATTTGATGAAATGCCAGCAATTTGTCATGAAATATCACAGGAAAAAGGAATTTTTAGGGCTCAAAACAAGTTAAGCTCTAGCTTAAAAGCACACATTACTCTGAACAAAGCAATACTTTCAATGATTTCGAAATGACATCCTCTTATCTCTTATCGTCCTCTTATTGTTCCTGCTGTTGATGGCACAAAGAAAATCTTTTCTTGAGGACTCTGCTGGAATGAACCTGAAAATACAGCCACGGATGGCAAACGTTATCAGATAGCAGACTGGAGTCCGCTAATCTGATGGTTAGGTGCACAATGGATTTATAATAGAGACGATGACAGCTCTGTGTTTTTGCAAAGATGGGGGATAAAGAACTGAATGGGGCATTAAGGTCTATTCTGATTCCATTCTCTGAGCTGCTGACACATTTGCATTACAAAAAGCTCAATCACAGTCTAATTTTTTCCGTCTGAGGTGGTAATGATAGAGCGCCTCTCCGAAAGCTGTGTTACATGACAGATGCTTTTCATATTACAGCGCAAAACTCTTTGTCTTTCTCGTCGGCGCTCCATCAGGCAGCATAAACACTCTTCAGCCTCTTTAATGCATCTCTGCTCAGCTCCATCAGTGCTGTGATTAGTCTGTGCGTACGAGGAGGGGGTTGGATTGACAGCTGCTTCTGTAATGCAGTGCGAGGGGTCGCTGACCTCTCCTATCCCCATCCCCTACACCATCAGGCTGATCTGTGACCTGTGAAATTACTCCGGCTATCATATCTCACCCAATCAGCGGCAGATGAGGACACGTTTGCAAACCGACACATGCACACACGTGTGTTATATTACCTGCCAGAAAGAGCAATTTGGAAGATACGTAATCTGATATTTTCACTGAGCTTTATTCACAAATAATTACATACAGTTGTGTTTACGTACTGTATGTGCACAGAAAAGGTTCTCATGCAACTTTCTGCATGCATAATTTATTGTATTCTTATTCAATTGTTTATTAATCAGGATTGTTCTAAATTAGGGTGTGTGTACCATACAGTTATCAATTTGTATGTAAATTTACTAGTGCTGTCAAACGATTAATCGCTATTAATCGCATTCAAATAAAAGTTTTAATCTACATAATATATCTGTGTGTACTGTGTATATTTATTATGTGTATATAAATACACACACATACATTATATATTTTTAAAATATTTACATGTATTTACATGTATATATTTATATTCATACAATTTATAATATATAAAAATATATTTAATATATAAACGTAACATTTTTCTTAAATATATACATGCATGGGTGTGTATTTATATATACATAATAAATATACACAGTACACATACATATACATATACTATGTAAACAAAAACTTTTATTTTGGATGCGATTAATCTCTTGACAGCACTAAAATTTACATAAAGGTATTAATACAAATGTATGTTAGGGCTGTCTTGATATGGTGATTAATTAATCACAAGTTAATTTTGGCTGACCTACAAAAGCCAATATTGTGTTAAATGAGAAAAGTATCAAGTAGACTTTACTATAAACTATATACTATAAATAGGGCTGCCGCTGCACGATAAATCGCATGTGATTGTCATGCGCATCTCGTCAGTAAGTTCTGTGATTAGTAGTAAACTACTAATTACTACTAGATTTACTACTAATCACAGAACTTACTGACGAGATGCGCATGACAATCACATGCGATTTATCGTGGCACAATGGATTTATAATAGAGACGATGACAGCTCTGTGTTTTTGCAAAGATGGGGGATAAAGAACTGAATGGGGCATTAAGGTCTATTCTGATTCCATTCTCTGAGCTGCTGACACATTTGCATTACAAAAAGCTCAATCACAGTCTAATTTTTTCCGTCTGAGGTGGTAATGATAGAGCGCCTCTCCGAAAGCTGTGTTACATGACAGATGCTTTTCATATTACAGCGCAAAACTCTTTGTCTTTCTCGTCGGCGCTCCATCAGGCAGCATAAACACTCTTCAGCCTCTTTAATGCATCTCTGCTCAGCTCCATCAGTGCTGTGATTAGTCTGTGCGTACGAGGAGGGGGTTGGATTGACAGCTGCTTCTGTAATGCAGTGCGAGGGGTCGCTGACCTCTCCTATCCCCATCCCCTACACCATCAGGCTGATCTGTGACCTGTGAAATTACTCCGGCTATCATATCTCACCATAAACTATGGAACATAAAAGATGATGATTTGAGAAGTATCTCAGTATTTTTGTTCATACAATGAAAGTCACTGGTAACTAAAACAGCTTGGTTACCAACAGTCTTCAAAATATGTTCTTTTATGTCTGCAAAAGAAAGTAAGTCATATAAACTTGAAGCAACATGGAGTAAATGGAGTAAAAACAGGTGATTAAAGGACAACATAATTTTTATTTTTGGATGATCTATCCCTTTAATGTTTTTTTTTTTTTTATTAATATGGATTTTTTTTTATGAAATCATACCCTAAATAAGAAACGAAAACTGCCAGCATGTGGCGGTAAACGTCTTTACGAGTAAGTCATTGAGAGATTCATTCATTCGATTCGTTCAAATGACTAAATGGCTCTCTTTATGAATGGGCCATTGAATCACTGGTTCACATGATTCATTCAAAACGCAGATTCAGAGAAACGAAACACCGCTGTGATGCTCGGAGATGCACAACAGTTCTGCTATGATTTTATAGGAAATATTTTTGTTGACAAAAACAGAATATAACTATTTAAAATAGAACACAACATTAACTTCTTATTTACTGAACTGTTGTATAAAATCACATTTGCACTCACGCTATTGGGACAAAAACATCACTTGTGTGATATTGCTAATCATATGATATAAATATGAGACAAAAACACATTTGTACACATGTGTGTGTATATTTACTTTTATATATATTTACTTTTATACATATTTTTATATACTATATTATAATTTTTATTATATACTGCAACAAATTTTTTTAATAAATTCCTATTTCTATGTAAAATGGTTAATGACTAAGAGCCATTATGAGGGACACAGGAAGTCTGTGTACATTTGGACAATCCAAGCCTATAATAATGAAAGCCTTTCACTGACATATTTGTTGAATCAAGACTTTCATAACCTCATAATTATGTCATAACAGCACAGAATTAAAAAAGGAAAATTACTGTACTTTTATTTAATAAGAGAGGAAAAGCTGTACCGCCAACATTAATAATAACTATTTGAACTGAATCAAACTAAAGGCCACCATTAGCATTTTGCACGAGTAAGAGGAACTGGGAGGAGATGTCGAGAGGATTAAATGTTAATAATTCTGACATTGAATATTCATGATCCCTCCCAAAACTCACGTCCAATTATATGTTTGTATTATCGATATTCATGCAGCTGGCATGAATATGGATGGTCCTTTTGTTATAGAGCCTGTCAGTCTAATTCACAGAGACTCGGAGGAAAAAAATCAGCAGAGGAAATTACCACTCAATAGTGACCAAAACACCTGTTGCAAGATACTGCTTTTTTAAACGCAGACAATAGAAATTGAAACACACACAATAAGTTGGCAAATTCAGGTTCAGAAGCGCTATTCTAATCTTGGCCAATATTAGCATCCTCATTATCAACGAGCAGGCAGCGCACATCAATTTCAGATTCTCAGGAGTTGCAATACAAGCAATCAGAAGTAATATAGACCTAATATGCGTTTATATAATGCAAAGTCAAACAAAACAGTGGTTTCTTCAATTTATTTTTTCTACAAACAATTTAAGTTAACTCTCGCCATGATGATGTGTTATCTACGACCTTTCTGAAGACATTATCTTACCAGCTAGAGTGATAATTCAAAGCGATAAAAGCAAATTCAAACGCATACTGTCATAGCACATTTGTATTCTAAAGTAGAAGTAGGGCAGAAAATCACTGATATAAATATTGTCATACATATTTATTCGAATGAATATTCATGAACCGTGCTATTTGGTTTTTGTTGAAGATAAGATTGTAAGGTCAATTATCTCTGTGTGAAAAACACAGGGGGTACAAACTATTTCCAGCAATAGACGTTATGTGCAAATGCGATTCGGATGTAAATGCTTACATCTGGTGACGACTCCCTCCAGTCGAATGATGTTGGGATGGTCAAACTGGCCCATAATGCTGGCCTCACTCAGAAAGTCACGTCTCTGCTGCTCTGAATATCCGGCTTTCAGACTCTTGATGGCCACCTGGATCTCCCTCTTACTGGGCAGCCTCAGACGGCCACTGCAGACCTCTCCAAACTCACCTGGGAGTCAAACAAGAGCCTGTCAACTAATTGAATTCACCCTCAATCCCTTATTTCATTGCATTACAATCCCCTGGTGAGCTGTTCAGGTGGTTTACACAAGTAGGGCAAGCTTTTGAGTCAATTTATTTTGACTTACCAGCCCCAATAACTCTCTCAATCCGTATGTTGGAAACTTCGATCTCTTTGGCGAAATCTCGCACCGCCTGGTTGGGGTCCTCATATGTGTGCGGGTGAATGTACGTGCGGGTTTCGGGAAGTTTGACTGCAATGCAAGAACACGGTAGGAGTGGGGATAACGGTCGGGTTATTTTACAGTCATTTTAGTTACCTAGACTGAACCATCCATTTTCCTAAAAGGAGGGGAGTGCCGCATTTTCAACCTCATTAAACATTGTCTTTGGCAGGCAGGAAAAGTGTCATTAGAGAAAACACACATTAGGCAACTAGAGCGATCAGAGACACCATTTATCAGCAGATGCTTCAGAGGCTCTGTTCACTAACCGACAATTTGCTGGAAAAACATGCATTTTTTTTATTCATCCATCTAGCCAGACCGAATTATGTTCACCGTCTGACTGGCCAGAAAAAATACAATCCTGATTTGATGACATATCTCAAACTATGTTCTTTGAACGCACTATATTACACGTCTTAAAAAGTTTAGCTCAATATTTTGCTGATTACTCTTAAAAGATTTGAGTTATTTTCCAAGACCAAAAACCCTGTGTGAATTACCTCGTCCATGCTGAAACTGCATTTTCTCTTCCTCAGGGTCTTGCTTTGCTTTAATATATCCACAGCGCCTGGAACAATAGAATAAGCACAATTAAAACAGACCGACACAATGAAATACATGCTTTCTCTCACACTAAATCAACCAACCAATCCCCCAAGACTAAGAAAATTTTGATGACCGTAGAATCAAATCTACAGCGGCCTGATCTGGTCACATTTATCATCTTTTTACAGTGTAGTTTAAACATAATGTGTCTTTAGAGTCTGGTTTTCCCACCTAGTAAAGGATTTCATTGCTTTAATCCGCTCTTTAGAACCGGGAAAATTCAATCCTGACACCTCTGACTTTATCATTAACTACATCATTCCTCTCACAGTGGGATCATGAATAAGGAAATGCCCCAGATAATGAATATTCCAATACACTGGGGAGGAAAGGTGGCCAACGTAGGACTGATAATTATGTTCATTATTCATTTAATCCTCTTAGTGACACACGCTCACACATTCCCTTTTCCTGTCATGTCTTTAACAAGAATGAATTGCCAAAAATGTACTGTTCCAGGCTGACTAGCCATAGTAATTATACAGCACACTGAAATGTGGAGATTGGCTGCAGAATGTCTACAGACTGGCATGTTTGATGGGGACCAGGTGGAAAAAGCCATCCTAAATGGGTTTCTAGAGGACATTGGCTCAATAATATAGGTGAATATCCACTTATGAATAGAAAAGCAGACTGGAGTCTCTATTGTGCTATAGCAGATGACAAAATGCAAGGCATTTCCTCTAACTGCAGGTAAAGAAAGCTAAGAGGTCCACAGTGGAGAGACAGTGTTATGAGTCGAAAGCCTTAGGGGGAATTCACACTGGACTCGTTCTTGCATCCAAAACCAGCTAGAGTGCAAGGGAATGGAGCAGATTGCAGCGGTCATGAGGCACATTTTTTTTTTAAAAGATAATGTTTTTAAACTGACATACCTTTTTAAAAAATGCAACGAGCAGAGATATACAACACAGCTGTCAAAAAGGCCTGTTGGATGATTGTGTACACAGATGACCAAAATAAAAGCTGTGTAAATACCCCGTTAGAAAGACTATGGATGAGTGCCATTCAGAACTGAAATAACTATGCTTCCCTTAATTCCAGTTCAAATACTGAACTTGAAATGAGGGAGGCAGAACTGCAATTTAAATTTTGGTTTTATAAAATGATAGACAGAATTGTGATTTAATTTGGATTTTAAAAAACAGCAGATATCTAGAATGATAGATAGACAGAACAACAGAATGACAGATTAAATAGTAAGACAGTAGATAAAATGACAGAATAGAAAGAAATACAGAACGAAACAACGACAGATAGAACAATAGATAAAACATCAGACAGAATGAGAGAGAGAATGATAGAGTAACAGAAAGATGGAGCGACAGATACAATAGAACAATATATAGATTGACAGAACAATATCTAGAAATATATATTGAGCAATAGAAAGATAGAATGACAGACAGAACAATAACAAGATAGACAGATCAACAGAATGACAGAATTATAGAACACCAGAATGTTAGAACAACAGAGAGAACGATAGAATGATATCTAGATCGACAGAACTATCTCTAGATATCTAGACTGATTTAACTATATCTAGATTGATAGATGTATCGAGTGATAGAATGACAGATAGAATTATAGAACGATAGATAGAATGACAGAATAACAGATACAATGATAGACAGAATGACAGATTAAATGATGGAATGACAGAAGGATAGAGCGACAGAAGAATAGAATGATATCTAGACTGACAGAATGATATCTAGATTGATAGAACTATATCTAGATTGACAGAACGTTATCTAGAACAATAGATATATCAAGCGATAGAACAATAGATAAAATCTATCGAGCAACTGCTAGAACGACAAATGGATAGATGGACAGATTTGATTCAAAATGACACTCAAGAACTCTGAATTCTGCACTGCAATCAGTCCATAATGACAGTGAGAAATCACCAAAACTCTGCAATCAAAACGCTAAGCTAGTAATACTCCTGTAGCAGCTGTGGAAACGATCATGCATCAGGGTTACCAGTATTTTGATTCTGGTATTGATTTTATACACAGTTAACAATGCTAATCAATACAGGATACAGAGTCCCCTTCATTCAAGAGCCAGAGCGTGCTCAGCTGCTCCAGAGCAGTCGAAGCATCGGGGCCCGAGGCCGGGGTTGGGGCAAGAGCAGACCTAGGGCTCTATTACATAATGGGAAGACCGCTGGGTTCATTCATACCCCCTCTAATCCGGTCTATTGCATCTCCCTTGGAGCAGCGGGGGGGGGTAAATCTTTCCCTTTCAGCTGTTGTACAGCCCTGTCTGGAGGGGATACAGAGGTACATGTGTGTCGTTTCCTCTCTGCTGCTTTTAATGAGACTGGGGGTCTCAAGAGAGACCCCACCTGTTCATCAGCCACACATACACATGCACCCCCCTAAATAAATGCTTGGGGCCTAGTGTGCATCTGTGTGCAGGTACAACCCCCCAACCCCTCTGATCCTTAACCGTCCCATGTGCGAAACACAGTCTATTAAGTGGAACATGCTTGCACGGGGGGCGCAGGGCTGGAGGGGTTCCGCCCGACTAAAGCATGTGGTAATCAGGGAGAGAAAATCGACTCCGAAACCGACCCCGCTTGCTCTCTAACCTGCCCTGTCGTCCCTCGAGGTCCCGCAGACGGATCCCTCCCCCTTGTACCTGCCGCAGCGCCGCTCAACACGCAGATGAAACACTTCCCATGCCGCAGCGGGAGATCCGGTAGCTTCTAAAGTGAAGAGTGATCCCACCCTTCAACCTTCCTGTCACTCATTTGAATGCAATATGCACACTGCGGGGCTATTTGCATATTCTGTTATAACGGCGGATAAAATGAAAAAAACGTGACAGACTAGCGTCTAGGACTCTGCAATTAACACATTTTTCAACTCCGAAGCATTCCTCAAATCCCTTTTGTGCGGTGATAAAGACGTTTCGCAGCCCTACACCGCTGGAAGCCCTTTTGTCTATGACCCAGTTTCTTTTTCCTTTCTTCTTCCTCTCTTTTGTCTTTCTCCCGCTCTCACAGTGTGAAGCTTGTATCTGCAGGTGACAGTGCAGCGGTGCAGCTTTGTATCTGCTGACAGGGCTCAGATCTTTCTCTGTGCTTTTGAGAAAGGGACGTCAAGGGTCATGGTGCTAAAGCAGAGAGACTCTTAAACTGTCTGGCCGGCTTGAGGGAACGATGAGTGAGAGCTGACTCAGAGTTTGCCATAAGCATTAAGAGAAAGATATATTGGAGAGATTGAGAAAATAGACATAAGAAGTGCTTGTCAAGACAATATTATTGCTCATACATACCTTAAGTACTAAATGCTGGGATGTAACTCGTTCTATAGCAAAAGTATTACAGTACATATTACTACTCTAAGGTACTACTATGCACCTTTTATGTGTTGATAAGATACAAAGTTGTCTCTTTAAGGATAATGCCCCATTGACAAGCTGTTCCGACGGTGTATCACGTGCAAGCTTTTCTTTGGCTGTAATTGATTTTTGAGCATATATGCACATAAATAATGTGGCAATATAAACTCGATCCCATCAGACAAAGAACCAAGTGGTTTCCTCGAACAGCCTCAGCATGAGATGATGTGCTATGAGAATAAAACACTGTCATTTTAATGTGGTAACCCTTGTCCTCTGACCCTCAAACTAGTTAATTACATAATGATACTCCAGCTCATTGAGCTAATGAGGAAAAGCAGCTTCCAGCTGGGTCTCAAGATCTGTTCAGCAGCTAGCGGACGGCAGGCCAGCTCCGGCTCTCACCTGCTACAAGGACATGCCAAGCCACTGGCATGGTCAATACATCCCAGTAGGGTGGCAAGAACAACAGAACAAAATTCAACTGATGTCCTTGCATGTTGCCACGTGTCTGTTCTCCTAAAGGACAGTGTTAATTTGGAACGGTTCACTGAAGCATGTATTTTATCTGGAAAAATCAGTAAAGAAAGAGTCAACACATCCTTGAGCCATAACTTTTGCTGGTCAATATCATGGATTATTAATGATTTCTCTCCAGAAGTTTGTAATTTTGCAAGCTTTCTCAGAAAAGGACATATTGACACATCTGATGAAGACAAACCGAACAGGCCAAAATAAACCTATCATTACCAATAAACAGTTATCATTATATTCTGCTATATATTTATAAGCATATCTGACAAGTCATAGTATAATCTTATGATTTAAAATACAAATAAATAAAGATTGCTGTAGAATACAGAACTAATAACATAATGACAAAATGTGGATATACTTTTATATATACTGTAAACTTTCAATTTGAAGTGTATCTGAAAATATAGAAATTAATTCCAAATAATTTGTAATATTTTCTAAAAAAAAAAAAAAATTACCAGAGGAATATTGGCAATATTACGGAAGCCTGTTTCCGGTAATTGCGACTTTTTATCTCGCAATTCTGACTTCTTTTTTTTTTTGAAATTGCGAGTTCACATCTTGTAATTCTGACTTTTTTCTCAGAATTGCGTGATACAAACTTGCGATTCTGACTTTTTCTCTCAGAATTGTGAGATATAAACTCACAATTTCGAGTTATAAAGTCAGAATTGCTAGTTTGTGTCACTCAATTCTGAGAAAAAAAGTCAGAATTTCCAGTTTATATCTCACAATTGCGAGTTAAGTCAGAATTGTGAGATATAAACTCGCAATTCTGAGATAATATCAGTCTTTTTCCCCGTGAGAACTGGACTTTGTAACTCCCAATTGCGAGTTTAAATCCCGCAATTCTGTGAAAAAAAGTCAGAATCTCGCAATTCTGACTTTATTACTCGCAATTGCGAATTTATATCTCACGATTATCAGAAAATAAGTCAGAATTGCGAATTTGTATCACAAATCACATTCTGAGAAAAAAAAGTCAGTTGTGAGATGTACTGTAAACTCGCAATTGTGAGAAAAAAAAGTCAGAATTGTGAAATAAAAAGTCGCAATTACCTTTTTCTTTTTTCTTGTTTTTTTAGTGGTGGAAACAGGCTTCCATACAAAATGGAACAGAGTGATAATAGTAAATCAGAATTGTTTTGTAACTCGAAATTGAGAGTGTGGTCCCTAGAGACATCTCTGTAAACCTTTCCTCGTGTATTTGGAGGAAATGGACACTCATAAATTCTAAGCTCCTCTGACAGGTGTTTTAAAAACACTGACTCTATCAGTTGAGAAGGGTTCATAACGCTAATTGAAATCCAGAAGAAAATCGAGCTGATTGATGGCGCATCCTTGTCTCATCTCCAGTCACTGCACATGCATCCAACATACCATCCACTTATATATTCCGGAATGTTCTACTGACGCGTCCAGACACATCTACAGCTGGCCTGCCATCAAACGCATGGAAATTAAATTCTAAGTGAAGCTGCGTGCTGAGAGTGAGGGAGTCATGATGTGCTTAGGGGCTACACAGCCAGCGATTTCTACTTGGAAAGGCACTGGAATAGCCAGATGGAACGGTTTGGAAAAAACAACCCTGTTTAACAACCGAACATGCTCATGCAACCATTTCGGAATGGCATAGTAATTCAATTTTGTGTGTGTACTTGAATGTGTTGCTATATTTCTCCGTTAAACACATACAAATGGACTGACTAAACAGTCACGGTACGGTGTCAAACCCAAGGGCGAGATACAGGTAATGTCTGCACTAAATCAACCGAACAAGACCCATTAAGCCCTCGGCTGTGCCTCCAAAGCATGATCTACACTGCTCAAACAAAGAACTGAATAACAAAACACATTTACAAGCTACATTCACTCACGTTGGTAGATTGTGAACGAAATCTACTTCCCCTAAATGGCATCAGTTACACCATACTGTGGGTTTTCACTACACAGAGAGAAATGTGGCACTGAAATCTCTCAGTTTATGATTTTATATGTCTGTTTTCAGCTGCTATATCACAATATTTTAAAATGATTCCAGACACCAAACTTTTTTTTACTCACTGATTGTTTATGTGATGCTCTGAAGTAAAAAACCAGCAGAAACAGCAACTGGTGCACCATTTTTTGTTGAAATTATGTTTGCAGTCTAAAACTGGATAATTTTGTGTTTGTACAATTTCATAGAATTGAATCATTTACTCATTTTCGAAAAGTCCCATAGAATATTCAACCATCAGAGAGCAGCTGTTATATGGTGTATTATTATGCAATGTATCATTTTTTCCCCTTCTTGCATGATTTAGCACACTACAAATCTGCCAAAACTTGATGTGATTGAGTAAGACAGGCAGGGCGAAAAAGACGAAAAGGTTCCTCGCATAACACAAACACATAACCACTAATCAGAAATGCAATAACCCCAATAATGGAATATTAACCGACAATTCATTTATCACTCCTGCAGAAATCAGCCATGTGGCTTCTAGATTTCATCATTAAACTGCAATAATTCCATCCAACATGAGCATTAGCGAATGGTTTGGAGGCCATCCAACTGGAGGTAAAGGGAATTGTTTTAATATCAGAAGCTTGTAGTCTTCAACTCGTTTTCATGGCTGGCAAACAATGCTCTTCAGACTTGCAAATGTATGTGTCTTTGGTTAGTAGGCACCTGCTAGATATACTGCGGCATCTGTCATTGTACTGAAATGTTCCACAGACACAATCACAAGGATCTTTAAAGTCTTTAAAGTGTGTCCTTCATTTTTAATTGCTTTTCTGGAAATAAGCAGAAAATAGGCGGAAGTGAAAGACAAACGAAGACCATCTGCCAGCATCATCACCAGCCAATCAAAGCTGTTTTTTCCTCATCAAGTACCAGAATGCTGGCCAAGTCCAAATTACTGAGAGCCCAAATCAAAGTGCAAGAACAAAGTTGAACATGCTAAACATGCCTGAACTCTTCATATTTCTCTGACCAACCTTAACTTCGGTGTGCAAACAGAAGACAAAGTCATGGGCCAGTGTTGCCATCGCTCTTGACCAATGCATTTCCATGATTTATTCCAGTTCTTCATGATTACTAGACATAAATAATTAAATTTGAAAAGATGCATGCACAAAGAAAAACTTTTTTAGAGAATTACAGAGAAAAAAAGTCATAAAAATTACAGAAATGGAAATGAAGAACAGAAATTTTCTTTCTTTTGAGAACTTTTAGGAATTCATATCACAAATCACACATTTAAAATTCCTTGACATTACCAAGAAACCCTGACTGGTCACAAATCTTAAATTCTGCTGTATAAATTCTGTCAAAACAATGACCTTGCTCAAGTTAAGCATTCGAAACCTTAACATCTTGCTTATGATTCCCACTTGAGTTAAACTTTGCAAAACACTGATGTATGTTTTCAACTCAGCGAGAGAATCAGAAATCAATGACCTCAAACTGTCAATAATGGAAAGGCCTCGCTCTCTCAAAGCTCAGCTGAGGTTCTGAAAGCAGTAATAGAACCGAGGGCACTGTGAACTGAATACCTTGTTAAGTCCTGTATACTGTATATAGCTCAGTATAATCCAATGCCAAGGGACCGAATGCAATTAGAGTTTAGCTTCACTCACCATTACGATTCATTGGCCTCCACACCACACTAGAAACACGTCATTCGAGATCAGCATCAAAACTGTTTTTATTCCTTCCATGAGGGTCTTCCCACAAGCAGTCACACATGCATTGGGATGGGGGTGGTGGAAACCATGAATAAGAGATGGCAGCACCAAGGTTTTGGCTTGCAGGCATAAACTTGGCCGACATAACACATCCTACGGGACCTTTCTGTCACAGTGTATTATGGGTTACAAATTGCAAAGCAGACGGAAATCTCATTGTGTGTTACAACATACTGGATCATATAGCATCCACCAGTTGAAAAATCCCTAGTAAATCAGCCTTTGAAATAGGAATGCGAGTGCCGGTCAATACTAAAATACAAAACTGTAACAATGCCAGTCTTTCTGCAATATTGCTAGGAGAAATTAAATTGGGTAGCTGCACATTGCCTTTGTCACACTGTTTTATTTGTATTTTTTATATGAGAAATGTATACACACACACACACACATATGTATATATATATATATATATATATATATATA